CATAACACATACAATCTGTAAATACACTTTTTACAATAAGCATGTTTGAGGAATTATATAAGAAAAAAAAAAAATAAGAAAAATAAAAAAAGGCGAGATTGACATGAAGAAGTAATCACCCAGCGGCAACACTTACTAGCTATAAAGGGCAATTACAGGTCACGGTTCCAATTACGCTTTAACTCACAATTAAAATCATAATGTCAAATGCATAACAATTAAACACAGTGATTTGAATATATAAATTTATATATTCACATTTATGATTGATTTTTAAAAATGTTTGTAACCCTAATTATATTTTATTTAATATGTCATAATATCTACCTAATAACAACCATAGTAAAAGCACTATATTGGTGTTTATCATTAAGAAACTGTCTTTGGAGCTGGTTCAAACGGATTATTTGAGTCAAAAACATAACCTCTTATACAGTTCGTTTAATTAAACTAGCCCTTATTGCAACCTATACAATCTACCTTATGTACAAGATATACTTTTAAATCATTATGTTATCTTAAAAACGTTTAAATTAGTATGCCATAAAATGAATCTATAAACCATAGTTCAAACAATATATTCATGAATAAAACAAAATAGTTTAAAATATATAAAACAATTGAGTAGCGAATATCCAAAAAATTGTTATTAAGAATATTAGAAAGAATAAACAATTAAAAAATTATTGGCAGAATAATGAATCAATTAAAATAGTATGTCTCTCTTGATGTTCCGGCTTTAGTTGACCATCTTTAGAGATAATTTATTACCACGTATTTCAAATAATGAATGTTTGTCAAAAAAATGTCCTCTAAATACAGACACTATGATATATGACACACAAACAATACTCATAAATACACAAACAACATTATTATTGGATATAAGATCAACTCACAATGAAAATTATAATGTCAAATACGTAACAATTAAACACAGTTATTTTAATATATATATTTTTATATTTGTGATTGATTTTCAAAAACGTTTGTAACCCTATTTTAATTAATATGTCTATCTTATAAACTATAATAAAATCATTAAATCGGTACATGGTATTAAGAAACTGACTTTGAAACTGATCTAGAAAACTGATTTAAACAGATTATTTGAGTCAAAAACATAACACTTAAAGACAGTCTGTTAAATTAAACTAGCCCTTATCGCAACCTTTACAATCTAACCTATATATGAGAATTTATAAATTTATAAATTAAAAATTATTAGTTATTAAATTTTTAGATGATCACAATTATATTGAAATGGATTATAAAATAAGATGTACAAAATCTTAGTATATGCAAAGATTTATATTTCAAGTTATACAAAATTATAATTATAATCTAATATTCTTTATTATAACTATTATATTATTTATAGACATTTTAATTTTGTTAATTTTGTACGCAATATTTATTTTGTAGGTACTCTGTGTTAATATTGTTAGACTTTACATGAATGCTTGAAAATTTAACAGCAGATTCTTTAAATCTTACTTTGTGTAAAAAAAAAAAAAATTTAATTAAATGTAGTATTTGTTCTTATAAAGAAATTTTGATGAAAATTATTTGAGTAAAAAATAATGTAGAACAAATTTAATTTTTAAATTTTTTTTTTCGAACATATGTATTTTGCCGATTTTAGAAGTATGGTAAAGTCAGAATCGAACGGACTTACTAAGTTCCAAAGTTATGGCTTTTTGAAGTTCAGATATTATGCTGATATTACTTGTTTATGTTAAATAACTCTATATTGTCATTATTCGTTTGTTGTAGTCGAATGGTCATGAATACTTATTGTTATACTCGGTGTCACAGATTCAAACCCGGGGTTCGTAAAGAAAATGTTTGCATTTTTTTTTACCTTTTATTTAATTGGAGGAAATACAATTGCATTTTAAGTTGACCTAGACATCTAGCTATCGCTCGCTCGAATGATTTTAATCGAAAAAAATACCCTCGATTATTTGTGCAAACTTTTCTACCAGAAATATTGCTCCCATGTATCAAGTGTAGCTTATTTTCTGAAAGGAAATTTTATCTCCATAGTTTAGAGAGTTTATTTTTGTCATTTTTCAATCAGTTTTCATAATTACTGAGAAAAACCGGGACAGAAATGTACGAAATGTAGATTGTATTCCTATCTTTTGAAGGAGATTAAACACTGACAATTCAAATATTTAATGCGAGTCAAAAATATCCCTCTAATAGATATTAGACAGTCACTTTAATTAAATTGGCAAATTATTCTACCTGTAAGTACAGGTAGAAGATATCTATATTTTCTTATTAATCAATTACAGTTATTGTTAGAAAATGTTCCATTATGCGCATGGGAAAATATGTATTTTCAACAAGATAGTACACTAGTGCACAACGCCATCGTTATTCGGCAATGTTTAAATGACATTTTTCCTAACCGATGAATTGGTACCCATGGAATAATTCCATGGCCAGCGAGATCTCCATACTTAACTTCATTACATTTATTTTTATGGGGACATTTAAAAACTATTGTATATGTAAATCCACCTACTAATGTACAAGATTTAAAAAACAAAATACGAATAGCATGTAATAATTTGTGAGAAGACCAAATAAACGCTGCCACATCTATAGAATTTTTAAATCGTTTGGAATCATGCTTGGAACATCAAGGTGGGAACTTTGAACAATTTATTCGATAAATGTAGTGAAATGTTGATAAATGTAGTATTGTAAATAAATACATTTTAATTTCAAATTTGTTGTGTGGAATTTTCTAGTTGAATATGATTCAAATTTCGTTGAAAACTGATTATTCATAAATATTAAATTTCAACATACAATAACTTTAACAATTTTGTAATTAGAAAAAAACTTTTATACAAAAATTGTTTAAAAAATAATAATCCATCCGAATCTGTAGAAAAAAATGGTGTTGTCATTTTAAAAAAAGTAAGTTGTATTGCGCACGAGCGTACTGAAAGGGTTAACAATTTAAAATTTGTTGGAAAATGTGTATTTCGGCACCCTCTATCATTCCCCGAAAACTCCATTTCAATACAAGGTAATCCGACTGAAATATTTAGCGGTACTTCTTAGCATAAACACATTGTATTCGAACAATTTAAAATTTTTTAATTATGTACACTGATAGTGGATTATAATTATAATTTAAAATAACATTGAAAATATAATATATGTATATATTTATACTGTACATTATTGCTATTGTTTCTTTGACATGTCTTTTTAGTAAACTGTCTTCAGAACAGAGATTGAGACTGACAATTCATTTACTTAATGTGAGTTAACAAGCTCCCTCTAATAAATAGTCATTATGATTAAATGAAACTTTCACGATAATTATAAATATTTATACAAACATGATTGATATTTTCATTTTTTTATATACATAAAATATGAATATACATATATTAAAATTTTATGTTAAATAAAATATATAATAAACAATTATGCAAATCATTAAAACATAATTAATTTTTAACGATGGGTTTTTTCGCACTTTTTGCTTTTTTTAATTTCATTTTTATTTTCAAGTACTTTAAATGAAATTTAACACAACACAAATTTCTTTAAATTTACCTGGACATTTTTTATTTATTTAAGGTATTCCATATTTATTATTCTCAATATAATCTGAAAAATCAAATTCATTCAAAAGTTGTTTATTGTTTTTTATTTTCATAAGCATTATCTTCATAAGTAAACACGTGAATGGGCAAATTTGTTATTTTTTTTCACATTTAGGAATATCTTTTAATTTAACTAGAAATTCAATTTTTAAACTTTTAAATACTTTATCGAATTTATTTTCCCATTCTTTATATTTGCTAACCCTTTTTGCATTTTTTGTCACTGAATGTAAAGTAGCAAGAATTTACCAAAGAAAAAATTTGTTATCTTCGTTTTAATGTTAATAATAGCTGTTTTATCAGATATTATTTTTGGTAATTCAACATATGATGCCCCTCTAAGTGGATTATATTTATACATGTTTATATTCATATTTGTAACCTGGTTAAATATCCAACCAGAACCCTTAGCTATAAATGCATCGTCTCCAGATTAAATTGTTTTTTTCACATTGTTATAAAAATCATCGAAATTACTAGAATTAAGAAAACGTTCACTTTCCTATTTAAAACCTGCATATATTTCCTAGTTTGATGGATTTTTCTTGATATATTTATAATTTACTATAATAGATATTTTAAAATTACCTTTCTCTTTTAAATATTTTAACATTTTTTCTCTACAAACTTTTTTGAATAATTCAAAAATTAATTGATATCTTTAAATTTTCGCGTATTTTCAATAATAAATGATAATATTCTCCTTTTAAAAGCAGACCGATTATCAGTAGTAATATCAACAATCTTTAAAGCAGGCCTTTCTCTTTCAAATTAACTAGAGAGAATATAGAGAACTATGAGAATATTATGTGTGTTGGAATCTTATCTTCAAAATAAATTATATTTTGCATGTTTTATATTGAAAAAACTATCAGAACCTTCTATTTCAAAGGTTATAACATCACAATCTCAGTTAAAATTTGTTTCTGATGTTGCTTCATATGTTTTATATTGTGATCGAATAATATCATGATCATCATATTTATTAAAAATACTTTCCAATTATTATGGAAAAGATAAAAAAAATTAAAAGTTTTTGTTTTATAATAAAGAAATATGAATATTTTTTTTTAATCAGAAAACTGATTAAAAAAATATTTAGATATATAATTAAGGTATATTTTTTATAAGAAACTATATTGTTACACCTATTTTTTTACTATTCGCAGACTTAATTTTTTTCAATTGTGCATAGTTTAAATTAAGATTCATTTATAATACAAAATATTATTATTTATAAGATCCATTTTTAATTTTATTTTTATTTTCATTTTATTACTAGTTGCAAAAGCTGCTGTTTTTTCACCTAAAGATGTTTCAGGATTTTTGTATATATCTTTTACAATATTTTCTAAAATTATATCAATTTATGTCTAGATTTAGTAGCTTTATGTTTTTCATAGTAAAAAGCTCCATTGCAGCTTCATCCAGTTTGTTTATTGGTTTCTTAGATTTTGTAAACGGTCTGAGATAATTATAACCAGGCCAGTGAATTTCAGGCATAATTTTACTATTCAAGAAATTATTAACAAGTCCAGATCCAGTGATCACTTTCTTTGGTAAACTTGCAATAAAAAAAATGAGATATTCTATACCATGGAGTGTATCAACTCATTTTCCGATTTCTTTACTTACAAAATGTATAATACCTAAATTTTCATTATGGAAATTATTATTACCAGCTCCTTCTTCTGCAGCAATAAAATATAATCATTTTAACAATTCGTTTAAATTATCAATGTATTTATATTGAATTGGGTTTTCTGTATAATTTATTAAACCAGATTCTTCATGCAAAGTTTTTAATTTTTAATTTTCACTAATTTTATTCCAAATAGGATGGATCAGATTCATGTATTTATCCCTTTTACTTGATTTTACTTTTTTTGTATTTTTATTATTATCATGATATAATGATTCTGTTTCTATTAATATCTTTTAATCTATATTTTTATTATATGTTAATAATCCTTGTGGTCATTTATTAATTTGTTCGTTTAAAATAATAATGTTATCTTTAAAATGAATCTCATTTTTACCTATCATATGCATATTTGTTTCATGATTATGAAAAATCCCAAATTTATCATCTGATAATTTGGGTAAATAATGAGCTGCAATAACTCCTATTTTATTATTAATAATTGAATTTTTAATTTCTGTTTCTAAGCCTCCATCTCGTATCATTTTTTTGTGGTTTGGTCTTCTGACCAAATCTGATGTTTGTGTTAATGGTTTCACCGGAACTAAAAATGATTTAATATCATCATGGGTTTTTATGACAGCTTCTTCAACATTTTTTAATCCCTTGATAATAGGTTCAAATGCTTTTTGTTTTCCTATTTCTTCATTTAGTTTTTTCTCTGCTTCATTTCTATGTATTTTTCGCATTTTTTTTTTCACGATCAATTGTTTCATTAATCTCTGGTTCTGTTGGTTCTTTTTTCTCTTCGAAATGTACTGTTTTTTGTATTTTATTAGATTTTTTTAAGTTTAATCCACTTTTAATTTTTTTCTTAAGATTATTTTGAATTTGTTCAAGTGTTCTCATTTATTATATAAAAATAAATGTTTTCAATAAATTTTCATTAACTGATATTTGTTATTCAATATTTATCTTTTTCCAGATCAAAACCTAAATATTTAATTAAATTTACGTCTAATTTAAAAAAAAAACATTAGATTTGATATTAATTTTATCTCTTTCTATAGAAATTATTAATGGTTTAATAATTTTATTTTATTTATCTATAGTATATTTTCCAGATTTTAATTCAATTATATTACCTTCAACTTTTAATAAACAATCTATTTCAATATTTATTAAATTTGAAGTAATACTTAAACCTAAAACACCAACAAATAAATTATCTCCAAATATAGGATTTTCTAACCTTATAAATCCGTTTTTTTATTTTTATTATAAATAATAAATATTTACTACTAGTACTAGAAATAATATATAAAAATTATAGAATACAGATAAAATATATTAGTATATATCAAATATTTTTTAAATTTTACCACGTCTAGAAACGAAAAATATGAATTTGTTGTACAAATGTCAAGTCTGTAAGAGTATTTTTAACTGAATTATAATAAATAACAAAATTTAAAAATAATAAAATCATTATTTTCGTAAATTTCCCGTTATTCTTACGTTCTATCCTGATTCTTCCCAAATATTATAAAAACTGCTTGGAAAATCAAAAAGCAACCTCCCAAAAGTACTATCTGGACAATATTTCTTTTCAGAATTGGTGCTGCGCGTATATATCTGAACAAGATCTAGTATAATTTTTGTACATAATATAAAAATAAAAAAATGAAAAAGAAAATCTTAAAAATCTTAGTCAAACTAATACATTTTTCGCTACACTCTGCATCTAAGATAAACATCTTTGTAAAACAAATATATTTTTCGCCACACTCAGAATCTAAAAAAAACAAATCATAGAACTTTAGTCTAAAATTGAATTTCATTTAAAGTTAAAAATGATCTGGTGAGTAATTTATCAACATAATTCCAAAAAAGCTAAAAATAGTCCAACATTTAAAATGTCTATATATAGATCAGGAAGTACAAAAATAATTAGAAAATTATATTAGTTATGGAAATTGATAATGTAAGTATTTGGAAAAATCGATATTTCATAAATATTTCTAAAGTTTTTTCGCTGTTTTATATTCTGTGTATGCTTTTAATTTTAAAATTATGTGTGTTCTAAAGACACTTTTTCTAGTAAAAAAATACTTAGATTTTAAATTCCAAGCGTAGTGAGGAAATTTTTTTTTCTAGTAAACTTGCTTGGATTTCCAATTTGTACGTGTAGCAACTTTTCTGAAAGCTCAAGTTATCTAGATTATACTTTAAAGAGGTCTTGTTTTGATTTCCGACGCCATTATTTAATAAAAGCCATTAAGTGGGAAAAAACATAGAATCACGTGAACATTTTACGATTTCATTATTTTATAAAAACACGGACCATTTTTTTTTTTTCATTTTTATTTAGAAAATTATACAATCTACACAATTTATACAAGGACAATAAGCATAAGGGATGTTTTAGGTATGGTATAATAGCATGATTGACATACGTGAAGAACCAACCAGCAAAGACACTTTGGCGTGAATTTACAAGTTATTTTGGGTATTATTTGCGTGTTCAGTTTATTAAGTGGGTTAAGGCCATTGTCGGTTGAGTCATTTGGGGGGGTTTCCAAGGATGGAGATGGAAAAAAGATTTATAACAAGGGGGTTGGTATGATTTTACAGATGATTTCTGAATTTGGTGTGGTATATTTAAGCTGTTTCAGTGACTTTAGGAATGTGGATATCTGTGCTAAGGGTGTGGTTTGCGATAGATAGAGGCGCATTAGTTATGAGTCTAAGGATTTTTGATTGGAACACTTGTATTTTTTGTGTATTTGATTTTTTGATAGTACTCCAGACCTGTAAACCGTACAACCAAATGGGTTTAAGAGAACAATTATAGATATGAATTTTGGTTTTTGAAGTATCTTAAACTATCGTTTAGAGAACTTATCGAAGATGGGTTTGAGAATATAGTCATTTTTTTAATTTTAATTGTAATGTGTGGATGGGCTTGGCCCATGTTAGACGTTTTTTCCAAAACTAGACCTAGATATTTGGCTGTTTGTGAGTTTGGTATGGGTTTGTTGTTTATATACACTGGTGGGGGTTGACTGAGACGGAGAGCAAAAGTAGTGTGGACAGATTTGCTTTCATTAATTTTGACGCGCTAGTGGGAGTACTAGAGGGATAGAACATTGAGGTGGCTTTGGAGAGACAATAAAACTACTTCAGGATTAATGTGGGCGGAGTATATTACTTTGTCGTCGGCATATTCAGCTATTTGAGTATTCAGGTTGGTGGGTTGATCAGCCGAGTAAAAGTTAAATAGTGTTGGAGAAGAAACTACTCCTTAGGGAACGCCGGCTATTGGGGAGATATTAGAGTGTTCTGTTCCTGATCTGACAGAAAAATGGCATTCACTTAGAAATTAATTTAATAAAAGGTAGTATGAGGGGGTAGAAATGATTTTAATTTGAAAAGAAGGCCCGGGTGTCAAACTTTATGAAATGACTGCGCGACATCAAGAAATATTGCTGAGGCATAAAGCTTCTTTTCCAAGGAGCAGGATATTGTATCAGCTAGACGGTGCATTTGGTGAATAATTGAGTGACGGTCCTAAATCCAAATTGAGTGGCAAGAATTAATTGCTTTTCCTTGATAAATGGATAGATTATATTTAATATTAATTTTTCAAAAAGTTTTGAGAAGAAGTGTGGCAAGCTAATAGGTCTGTATGAGGAAGGGTTACATATAGGTTTGTTTGGTTTAGGGAAGAGAATAATTGTGGCGAATTTCCATTGAATCGGGAAGTGGGAAATTTGGAGAATAGCGTTGAAGATATAAGTGAGGTATATAATGGCTTTATCGGGGAGTTAACGAGCTATTTCTGCTGTAATCAAGTCGTGTCTAGGTGATTTACCTAATGGAAATTTTTGTATGAAAGATTTCTCCCTAATCTTGGTGTAGAAGATTTGGGCTTAGGTTAATATCGTTTGAGAGTGTTAATTACCATTTATCCCAGTTAATTATCCAATTAATTAGTGAGGGATTCGTCATTATATTTAGTGGAGAGGTGTCAAGGATAAAAAGTACTGGTGAGTGGTCAGAATGGGAACTCGATAAGTAGTCTATATTGGTGTTAAACCGGTCTAGATAACGTTATCCAGAAATATTAAACTCATACTTTATCTATATGTGGTAAAACCGACCCTTAATTGTTTATGTTTTGGTAAAAATTTTTAAAAAATAATTTTTTATTTCATTATTTTTGAAAAATTTGATGATAGCCATTTTATAGTTTATCTTCTGAAAATGTTGACGTATAAACTTTTTATTTTCATTAAATTTGTGATTTTTAATCATTTTTAAAGTTCAGAAAAAAGAAGAGTGTAGTCAATGCTGCATAATTTTAGGTAATTTTCTCAAAGTTTATTAAAAATTATAAAAAATTAATTACAGTGTAAATATTTAATGGCCTTATCGTTATGACGATAAAAAAACAATAGAATTTGATTATCTTTATTACAATAATGAAATATTACAATGGGTATCTTCATGGGGCGCCTGTATGTTGTACATATTTTTAAAAATACTTCCTATAGCGTAAAAACCCCTAATAAACATAGGTATAACAGCAACTTTTGCATTAATATTAATTCGTGACATATACCATATCAAGTGAATATATTTTAAACTTATAAACGATATTGTATGATGGTTGGTGTCATATTAAAAATAAATTTGTACTTGTATAGGTCATCGCAGTAATATTTATTTTTAATATGACACCAATATTGAATATAAAACATATAAATAATTAAAATACTATTTTGTAGGAACAACTATGTATGACATCCAAGCCCGTCGTTAGGGTACAAGCAGGGGTGCTTAAAGGTTGCTTTAAGGTGGCATACAGTTATAATTAAACTAAACAGGTAAAATGAAATTAATAATCGTCAAAAAAAAATGGCATCAAAATGTTCACTTTAGGGCGGAAATTATCTTACGGTGGGCCTGGTGGCATCGCGGTGATCTAAATTCTGTTATTTTTCTGTTATAATACAACAAATATATTTTTTTGTTATTTTAAAACTATTTTGATGTTTATTAGTAAAATAATTTCTTTTGTTATAGTAAATTAATAATTAATTTTTAGGTTCTGAGTGAAGCAAAGAAGCTTATAATTTTACTGAGATGTTTATTTTTTTTAATTGTGCGCAAGGAGTTTTCCCAGCGAATATGAAAAATCGGGATAAAACATGGGAAAATTAGTATAACATTAAATAAATATTAGTATTAAATATAAAATATAAATATAAATATTAAGTACTTTAGTCCTATATGCGAGTGGCCTAGTGCAGGGGTCGGCAACCTGCGGCTCACGAGCCACATGCGGCTCTTTCGGCCTAAAGTTGCGGCTCTCCAGCTGCACACACAAAAATTAATATTTTAGTTCAAAAACAATATTTTATAATATAAAAAAAATGTATATTATTTTTGTTATTTTTGGAAATATGAAATAACACATCACAAAAATAATTTGATAATGCCCACATGGAGTACAGTCTATAGTTGTAAAATGTTTATTATAGAGTCTAATATAATCGTGACGCTATCTACAACTAATTGGTCATACGTCGTCACGCCAAGACATGCAAAGCCAATGCTCCCATTGATGTATTCCCCTATTATTAAAAACTGTTTTTTTTTTTTTTTTTTATCATAAATTTATTATATTATTATAATTAATTTCATTATTATTATGTCTATTAAAATTTAAAAATAAAATTATATT